AAGCTGAACCAGAAGTGTGGAGTAGCTGGGACTCAAACCAGCACTCTGAGATGGGATGTGAGCATCCCAAGGGACTGCTTAACCCACTGTGCCGCAATGCTGGCCTGTTGCTCAATATTTAAAATGGCCTTCTCGGCCAGCGCCGCGGCTCACTAGGCTAATCCTCCGCCTGCGGCGCCGGCACACCGGGTTCTAGTCCCGGTTGGGGCGCCGGATTCTGTCCCGGTTGCCCCTCTTCCAGCCCAGCTCTCTGCTGTGGCCAGGGAGTGCAGTGGAGGATGGCCCAGGTCCTTGGGCCCTGCACCCACATGGGAGACCAGGAGAGGCACTTGGCTCCTGGCTTCGGGTCAGTGTGGTGCACCGGCCGCAGCAGCCATTGAGGGGTGAACCAACAGAAAAGGAAGACCTTTCTCTCTCTGTCTCTCTCTCTCACTGTCCACTCTGCCTGTCCAAAAAAAAAAAAAAGTGGCGTCAGACTGGTTCTAATAGGAACAATGACAAGGCCCTACTTGCCCTTCACTGTCTGTCCATTTTAAGGGCTTCTGGTGAAGGCTAAGCAAGTCGAGGAGGCGGCAGATGGCTTGCACCATTCCACGAATGGGAAGCTTGGCAGTTGCTGCTGAAAGACAGCCAGCCCCACATTTCTCAGATCTCCTCTGGGCCTCCCAAGGCCTCGGTTATGCGACTTCTGATACCATACCGGCCTGATGTTATTCATTTGGCTCAAAACAAACAGACATGATAATTAGAAAGTTGTCTTCCTGGGAAAGGGATCTGTCATCCCAGGTATGACCTCATTCGGAATTAATCTCTGTAGCATTCTTCTCTTGGGTAAATAGGTGGCAAGTGAAAGATGCCATTATTTCCCAGGCTACTTGGGAAGTCAGTTGCACAACCAGGAACAAAACTTAGTTTTACTATGGCTATGCCTGAGAGGCTCAGTCCCAACCCTAGACACCTCCTGGTCAATAAGATGACTAATTAAACTGTCAATTATTTGCTCTGGGACTTGCTCTACCAGTAACCAGGTAAGTTTCAGTGGGTGTTCTCCAGGAGCATGCAATGAACAGGAAGAGGAAGTGAAAAAGCCTAACAGATGGTGTAAATATTTATGGCATGAGCCAGCCTCACTACACATGCTCCCTGATGGTACAGAGTGAAAGGAAGAACCCGGGAGTTTGTGGCTCAGTATTTTTTTTTTTATTTTTTATTTTTTATTTTTTGACAGGCAGAGTGGACAGTGAGAGACAGAGACAGAGAGAAAGGTCTTCCTTTTGCCGTTGGTTCACCCTCCAATGGCCGCCGCGGCCGGCGCGCTGCGGCCGGCGCACCGCGCTGATCCGATGGCAGGAGCCAGGAGCCAGGTGCTTTTCCTGGTCTCCCATGGGGTGCAGGGCCCAAGCACTTGGGCCATCCTCCACTGCACTCCCTGGCCACAGCAGAGAGCTGGCCTGGAAGAGGGGCAACCGGGACAGAATCCAGCGCCCCGACCAGGACTAGAACCCGGTGTGCCGGCGCCGCTAGGCGGAGGATTAGCCTAGTGAGCCGCGGCGCCGGCCATGTGGCTCAGTATTAACCCCCTGTTTTCTAGGATGGAAAGCCTTCTTAGCCTTGAAGCTGTTATTTGTGCTATCTATATGTGCAAATTCTATAAATTGGGGAATTCATGCACTCCTGAGTACCAGAGCTTTTACAAGAAGTTTCAAATAGACACATATATGAATGGACCCAATTTATTATGGATTGTGAACTACTCCAAGGTGAAGGCTACTCTGAGACTCTGAATGAAGGAGGAACAATTTCTGGGTGTGCAAGAGTAGATTCATTGAGAATAGGAGCCCAGGCCAAATGGTTCCTAAATTTCTATTGGTGGAAGACAGAACAGATGTTCCCCAGGGCCTTGTAAGTTACCAGTTTTCCCTGTCTGTCCCCTCCTCCCAAGAGTGACCAAGTGGTCTCCTCTCCTGAATATCCTAAAGGTTCCTCTCCAGCTTGGAGCTAGGGCTTATTTGTCGCTCCAGTTCACTTCCCACTTAGCTGTTCTCCTTTGGCCCAGCAAAGTGTGAGAGAATGTCTCAAAGCAAAATTTTTATTCATTTATTTATTCATGCATTCATTTTTAAGAAATTAGAGCTAGTAATATGGCCACGTGATCCTTGGCTGAACTGATTGAGCAATGGTGGGCATGGGTATGGCATCACAGCACATTTTTAAAGAATTTTTCTAGGCCGGCACCGCGGCTCAATAGGCTAATCCTCCGCCTTGCGGCGCCAGCACACTGGGTTCTAGTCCCGGTTGGGGCGCCGGATTCTGTCCCAGTTGTCCCTCTTCCAGGCCAGCTCTCTGCTATGGCCCTGGAGTGCAGTGGAGGATGGCCCAAGTACTTGGGTCCTGCACCCCATGGGAGACCAGGAGAGGCACCTGGCTCCTGCTTTTGGATCAGCGTGGTGCGCCGGCCGCAGTGTGCCGGCTGCGGTGGCCATTGAAGGGTGAACCAATGGCAAAGGAAGACGTTTTTCTCTGTCTCTCTCTCTCACTGTCCACTCTGCCTGTCAAAAAAAAAAATTTTTTTTCTAGTTAGAAATAATGCAGGTTCCCAGTGATCATATTATTGTATCTGGATAACAATGTTAATCAGAGTTTTTATACTTAAAAAATTATGTTTTTAATTTTCAAAAATTTATTTGAGAGACACAGAGACATAGAGAAAAACAGAGCTACCATCTACTATTTCACTTCTCAAATGCCCACAGTGGCTGAGACTAGGCCAGGCTGGAGTCAGGAGCCAGAAACTTAATCTAGGTCTCCCGTGTGGGTGGCAGGAACCCAACTACTTGGGCTATCACGGCTGCCTCCCAGGGTCTACATTAGCAGGAAGCTGGAGGCGGGAACCAGAGCTGGAATTGAACCCTTGTAGTCTGATATAGAAGGAGGGTATTTAACTACTAGGCTAAATGTCTGCTTCTACTTTTTATTTGACCGTGGCTCTTGACCAAGGCCTTACATTCCTACAGTTTTGCAAAAGTAACACTCTGTCTCAATTTCCTAAGGACCCCAAACCCCTCCTTCATTGCTACCCCCTCTCTCATCTTGCTGCTTGACCTTTAGTGTTTTTCCAGGCCCTTGTTCCCTTTTGAGCAGAAGTCTTTAGCATCTATCTATTTTCATTTCCTGAGAGTGGAGTTCATCTCGCCCTTCCCCACGTATCAGTAATATGGTCCTGTCCTGTTTCTTCTATTTAAGCTTTTTATTTGGAAATAATTTGAAACGTGTCAGAAAGATACAAGAATAAAAAACCTGGGGCCAGTGCTGTGGCTTAGCAGGTAAGCCGCCACCTGTAGCCTGTGTTACTGAGCCATTGTCTGCTGCCTCCCAGGAAACTGGGTCAGAAGTGCAGGTGGGACTGGATCTCAGGCACTCTGACATGGATGTGAATGTCCCAAGTAGCAGCTTACCCTGTTGTGCACAATGTCCATGCCTCCACAGTTTTTGAAGTTCCTTTGTGTAGTTATTATTTTTTATTGTGGTCACTATTAAGCAACCTGTGGGAAACACTTCATGACCGTGCAAATTTTATGCTCCTCATCAAAATACCTCCCAACTCAAGTTAGCATCCATTAATAGTTCTTGCCTATGTAACCCTTATTCTTTTTTTTTTTTTTTAAAGATTTATTTATTTATTTTAAAGGCAGAGTTACAGAGAGAGAGAGAGAGGTCTTCCATCCACGGGTTCACTCCCCAATTGGCCGCCACGGCCTAAGCTGCACCAATCCAAAGCCAGGAACCAGGAGCTTCTTCCAGGTCTCCCACATAGGACCAGGGGCCCAAAGACTTGGGCCGTCTTCTCCTGCTTTTCTAGGCCACAGCAGAGAGCTAGATCAGAAGTGAAGCAGCCAGGGCTCAAACTGGTGCCCATATGGGATGCCAGCACTGCAGGCTACGGCTTTACCCGCTACGCCACAGTGCCAGCCCCATAACCCTTATTCTGATGGCTGCAAAATGATAAGCAACTCCAGCCCTCTCTCTACATTCAAGTCAGCATTCAGCCTTCTACTAAAAATAGAGTCTTTGTCTCTTCTCTATTTCTTTACCTATAGATGCGTATTTGTCATAGAATCATAGATTCCTGCTTTTCTCCAAAGCCTATAACTCATTGCTGTCCTTAATTATTCTGTGCTCCAGTTATCCCAGATCTGGCCAGTGGAAGCCCTGTCAAACTCTCTGCGTCCTTGTGTCGGGTTTCTAAACACACCCACACCTTCTGGCGTAACTAAGTGCTCCAGGCTCATCCGGTGCTGGTCCTTTCCCCATCACCAACCCTTTTCCTGAGGCCCTCCTTCGAGCCTGCTCAGTAAGATAAATGCTTAAAGGTGGGGTCTGGGGAGCGGAGATGGAGAGGGTCCAAGAAAGTCTACAGTGGTCATCAGCTTCGGATGTGAACGAAAGGCTTAGGACAAGGCACGCCATGTTCTCCGCTGCCATTGCAGGCTGGTGTTTAGACAAGGAAAGTCTAAACTCATATGCTTGGGCCCTGCAAATTCAATGATTGAGTCCACCATGTGCTGGGCACTGTGAGAGATACACAGCTTATGAGACAGCATTGCAAAGAGAGCGTGCTCCTGCAGGATCGACACACACGTATGAAATACCCATAGCACATCCCCGCAAGGATGCTGTCACTGTGCTGTCGCCCAGAGATGTAAAGGAATTGGAGGGGGCTCTAGGGTAAAAAGACAGTACTCATGACTGGCAGGTTAGAGGTAACCTTTGGGCTTGACCTTGAGAGAAGGTGGGATTTAGAAGAATGGTTTCCCTGGTGAAACTACAGGTTACTATTCATGGGGCCCTGAATCAGGCGTGACTACAACTTCATACAGCTAGATGCAGCCCCTTGCAGGTGCCGTAAGGTACATAAGAATTGCAGTGAATAGCAGAGGATTCATGCTGGATGCCCAGCTAAGGAAAGAACTATTGTGATGCTGTCTCATTTTTGTTTTCAGACACAGATGAAACATGTCCTTCATTCACCAAACTGAGCTTTCACAGTGCAGTGGTTGGTACGGAACTCAATGTGAGGTTGTTGCTCTACACCAGGAAAAACTACACCTGCGCACAAATCATCAACTCCACAACTTTTGGAAACTTGAATGTGACCAAGAAAACCACCTTCGTTGTCCATGGATTCAGACCAACAGGCTCCCCTCCAGTTTGGTTGCAGGACTTAGTAAAAGCTTTGCTCATGGTAGAAGACATGAACCTGGTTGTTGTTGATTGGAATCGTGGAGCTACAACTGTAATATACACCCAGGCCTCTAATAAGACCAGGAAAGTAGCCATAATCTTGAAGGAGTTTATCGACCAGATGTTGGTAAGTGAGAATTTCCTTGGATGATTCAGAGCCCCTTGGAACCAGTCTGTTATCTGGAGGTTTAAAGGCAAGAGATATCTGCCGTGACTAGTGGGGGACTATTTTGCAAATCTGAATAAGCCCCAGGAGAAGCGGGGGTAGGCCCATGGTATTGCAGGTTGTGAACTGCATGGGCACCCATCTAAGAGAACATTATTGTCACTGAAGATGTTGTAGATTTAAATTTTTTTTTTTTTTTTTTTGACAGGCAGAGTGGACAGTGAGAGAGAGACAGAGAGAAAGGTCTTCCTTTGCCGTTGGTTCACCCTCCAATGGCCGCCGCTGCAGCCGGCGCACCGCGCTGATCCGATGGCAGGAGCCAGGATCCAGGTGCTTTTCCTGGTCTCCCATGGGGTGCAGGGCCCAAGTACTTGGGCCATCCTCCACTGCACTCCCTGGCCACAGCAGAGAGCTGGCCTGGAAGAGGGGCAACCGGGACAGAATCCGGTGCCCCAACCGGGACTAGAACCCGGTGTGCCGGCGCCGCAAGGTGGAGGATTAGCCTATTGAACCACGGCGCCGGCTCAGATTTAAATATTTATGATGACAATTTGCCAGCAGATGACAACACAGTGTCTTTTTTTTTTTTTTTTTTTTTTTTTTTTTGGACAGGCAGAGTTAGACAGTGAGAGAGAGAGAGACAGAGTTATAGACAGTGAGACAGAGAGAGAAAGGTCTTCCTTCCGTTGGTTCACTCCCCTAATGGCTGCTACGGCCAGCGCTGCGCCAATCCGAATCCAGGAGCCGGGTGCTTCCCTTGGTCTCCCATGTGGGTGCAGGGACCCAAGCACTTGGGCCATCCTCCACTGCCCTCCTGGGCCACAGCAGAGAGCTGGGCTGGAAGAGGAGCAACCGGGACTAGTACCTGGCACCCCAAATGGGACTAAAACCCGGGGTGCTGGCGCCGCAGGCAGAGGATTAGCCAAATGAGCCGTGGCACTGGCCAACAAAGTGTCTTAAGGAAGAGGAATCTTACTCTCTAACTCCCATAAAGATGTCTTTTTGGGACAAGAGGTACTGTCTGAGAGCTTCCTGGCTTAAACATCTAGAGCATCCTCAACTTCTAGAACTGTTGCTTTTGCTAGGAGTGTCAAAAGTTTAGTGACTGCATTATCCAAAACTAAAACTGAGACATATAGTCTGATGAAATGATTTATGTTTTCAGAAGAATTACAAAACGTAAAACCTTAGATTTTAATTAGTGATCTGTCTCATGAATTGTCCCTTTTAGCAAGAAAAGAAAATGACATGAAATCAGAATAATGCCACAGAGTGTGTCAGGTCTGGTGGCCACTGTGGCTGGAGATGATGTGAATTTTACACCATCTCCCAAATTAAGCAGCTCTCCTGGGGATGTGAATATTAAAATGGTCCATGACTAGCTGTCCCCACAGCCCATAGACAGCGTGGTCCATCCTCACCCCATTTTCTTTGATTTCTTTTACTGAGCCAGTATGAAGAAGCTAAGGAAGTTCATCAAATGTATGGTTGTCTCCAATTTGAAAGGTTTTAAAGGGGTCTTGGCTTGGTTTCTAGTAGGAGCATGAGTGGAGACAGCATGAGCATAAAGGCACAGGTATGGTACAGACGGGTTGGAATTCTAGTCTGTGCCCTGACCTGGGATAAATAACTTCAAATCCAGAACTCAATTTCTTCATCTGTATAATCAAAAGAATAGTATTTACGTGGCAGGGCTATTGTGACATTTGAGTGAGATAACAGATATAAGGTGCTTACAAATACAGCTAGGACACTTCTCCAAATATTATCAGTTCCTAGGAACATGCACTATATAACGATGGACTTTTTGAAATTCCAGGCAAGAGGAGCCTCTCTGGATGACATCTACATGATTGGAGTAAGTCTAGGAGCCCACATATCAGGGTTTGTTGGAAAGATGTACAATGGGCAGCTGGGGAGAATTACAGGTAAGGCTCCTGTGTGTGGGAGCAGGGTTCGGGCCAGGGCAGGGTGCTCCCTGGGGAGACGGCAGGCAGGCAATCCAAGTCCTTAGGTTCAAAGCCAGCTTTTCCACTTACTTAATGTCTTTAAGCCTGGATCCCTTTGTGGAAAAGAAAGACCATGATAATACTGAGCTTGGGTTATTATTTAATAAAGTATATGTAAAGCACTTTGTCAATTGTAGATACTGTAAACAAGCTTGGTGGTGGTGACTTGATTTCTCTTCAGGCTAGAGAAACAGTTGTGTCCTATGAGGCTTTGATCTGTGCGCACCAAGCAGGGGCTTCTTCCTTTCATTTCATCCAGGACAGCCTGAGCTGAGGACTTAATCCACTTCAGGGCCGAGGTCCAGCTGCATCTCCAACTGGGAACAGAAGATGGGACTTTTAACCTTTGGCCTTACCCTCTAGGTATCAGCTTTCAGGCCTGTGCTGAATGAAAATGCTCAGGCACACAGCAGGTGAAACCGCAAACAAAGGCTCCTTTGCTGGGATCCTCTGCCAGTGCTTAGTAACTTTCCACACTATACACGAAGGGCTGAGCGTGGCTCTCAGAGATGAGGCCTCTCCCACTCATCTTTCTCTGAACCCATCTTCACAAACAGAGAGCTATTTTTTTAAAAAGATTTATTTATTTATTTGAAAGGTAGAGTTATAGAGAGGCAGAGAGAGAAAGAACTCTTCCATCCATTGGCTCATTCCCCAAATGACGGCAATGGCCAGGGCTGGGCCAGACCAAAGCCAAGAGCCAGGAGCTTCCTCCAGGTCTCCCACATGTGTACAGGGGCCCAAGAACTTGGACCATCCTCTGCTGCTCTCCCAGGCACACTAGCAGGAAGCTGGATTGGAATGGAGCAGTTGGAACTCGAACTGGCACCCATATGGGATGCTTAACTCACTAAGCCACAGCACTGGCCTCTCAACTATTTTAAGTCTAGGGAATCTGGGAGCCAGCGTTGTGGTGTAGTGGGTAAAGCCGCTACCTGCAGTGCCAACATCCCATATAGGTGCCAGTTTGGGTCCCGGCTGCTCTACTCCCAATCCAGCTCTCTGCTGTGGCCTGGGAAAGCGGTAGAAGATGCCCCGAGTCCTTGGGCCCCTGCACCCTCGTAGCAGACCCAGAGGAAGCACCTGGCTCCTAGCTTTGGATCGGTGCAGCTTCAGCCGTTGTGGCCAATTGGGGTGTGAACCAGCGGATGGAAGACCTCTCTCTCTCTCTCTCTTTCACTCTTTCTCTCTCTCCTCTCTGCCTCTCCTTCTCTCTGTTTGTAACTCTGACTTTCAAATAAATAAATATATCTTTTTTAAAAAAAGTCTAGAGAATCTTGAGGTTGAAATGGATGGAGGGAGAGGAGGGGTAAATGATTTGAACCACTTCACTTGGGAGGTAAACTTTCAGGGCTGTGAGTCTGAATGCACTACTTAAACCAGGCAGATTGCCTTGTGTGCGTCATCTCTATGTTTAGTCTGTATATCTCCAGGTGTCTCCGTTTCTGCTCCCGACTGCATCTCTGCTTCTCTCTGTCTCTCTTAGACACAGACACAGACACAGACACACACTCCACATGGCTAGCCTTTCCTTTAGCCTTGGTACTGAAGGTCATATTGCTTGTCCTGGATGTTTTCTTCTCTTCCATCCCAAAGGCCAATGTTGCCCTCATTTTATCTACCTACTTCCCTGGGGAAGCAAAGCTTTTTTTTTTTTTTTTTAAAGATATATTTATTTATGTGAAAGGCAGAGTAACAGAGTGAGAGAGCAAGAGAGAGAGAGAGCAAGGGGGAGAGGGGAATCTTTTATCCTCTGGTTCATGATTCAGCCAGGGCTGGACCAGCCTGAAGCCTGGAGCTCAACTCCATCTGGGTGTCTCATTTAGGGGTCAGGAACCCAAGTATTTGTGCCATCTTCGTTGAGCCAGCACTCAAACCGGCATTCCAATATGGAACACAGGCATCACAAGCAGTGGCTTAACCTGTTTTGCCTCAGTGCCCACCCCAAAGTTCTTTTTTCAAGTTTTAAAAATGTCTGGCCGGCGCCGCGGCTCACTAGGCTAATCCTCTGCCTGGGGCGCCAGCACTCCGGGTTCTAGTCCCGGTTAGGGCGCTGGTTCTGTCCTGGTTGCCCCTCTTCTAGTCAGGCTCTCTGCTGTGGCCCGGGAGTACAGTGGAGGATGGCCCAAGTGCTTGGGCCCTGCACCCACATGGGAGACCAGGAGGAAGCACCTGGCTCCTGGCTTTGGATCAGCGCAGCGCGCTGGCCATAGTGGCCATTTGGGGGGTGAACCAACGGAAGGAAGACCTTTCTCTCTGTCTGTCTCTCTCTCTCACTGTCTAACTCTGCCTGTCAAAAAAAAAAAAAAATGTTCTTATTGAGATGATGTTTTAGAAAGAAATCTGTGTTTGCTTTGCAAGAATTTCGTTTCCCCACCTGTGTAGGAAGGACAGATGGCTAGAATGTGCCTGTGTCCCTGATCTGTTGGGAGTATCTGTTGGGTGGGACCTTTTCTAGAGGTGTGTCTGGAAGTCAATCAGCTCTGAAAAAAGTAAATAAATGAAAAGGAAGGAAGAGAGAAAGCTCTAACTTGCAATGCTGGCTGGTTTCCGTGTATAAATCCCCGCCCCTGGGCTGACCGCAGGCTCCATCCTGACACTCCTGGCAAGAGAAGAGCAGACTCTGCCCTCTAGGGCTGCACTAGCAGGCTCTAGCGCCCAGTGCCACCTCCTGGCTGTGCCCGCTTCCTCCCTTAGCCCCCAGTGTACTTATTCCCACAACTACCGTGAATGTGACCTGCAATGGAGAGTCTGGTCTCTGACCACAGAAATCCCCCAAGCCAACATTCCTTTACTTGGGCTGGGCCCACGTGGCCATGCCCTTGTGGCCTGGACTCAACTAGGGGTCCACAGTCCAATTTTCTGTCTCCACTGACTTCCTCATGTTCTCCTGATTCCTCGTCATCTCTGAGTCCCAAGGTCCATCTCAGCCATTCCAAGAGCAGCTTTGGGAGTAAACTATTTCCCCTTCCCACCCTTGCCTGGGTGAGCTCACTGGGCTGTGGGGTGGGACTGTGGCCGTTACCCCACTCACTTGCACCTCCTGAGAGCTGGATCTTCATGTCTCCTGCTTATTACTTACCAGGCCTGGATGGCTGCTTCATCTCTTCATTTCCCTTTCTTCAATCCGTCCTCTTGCTCTTGCTCTCTGGGCACATCTCCTGGTTTTACTTATTATTGATTTCTGCAGAAGATGGTAGAGATGAATGGATTAAAAAGTACTCCAACTGCCTACACCACTTGTGATGGCATTAAATTCGATTCTCAAACTAAACTGTGTATAAAACGCAGTTTAGGGTGCTGGTTTAACAACACTGGCCAAATCAGAACCAGTAGGGTTGGGGTCAGGAGTCTGTATTATATATACATATTTATATTTTATTTTATTTATTTGAAAGGCAGAGTTAGAGAGAGAGAGGTAAAGACACGGAGAGAGAGAGAGAGAGAGAGAGAGAGAGAGAGAGATCTTTCATTTGCTGGTTTACTCCCCAAATGGCCACAATGGCCAAGATTGGGGCAGGCTGAAGCCAGGAGCCTGGAACTCCATCTAGGTCTCCCATATGGGTATCAGGGACCCAAGTACTTGGGTTTTCTTCTGCTGTTTTCCCAGATGCATTAGCAGGGAGCTGGATGGGAAGTGGAGCAGCTGGGACTTGAATCGGCCTCATTTGGGAGGTTGGCATCACAGGTGGCACCTTAACCCACTGCACTGCCATGTTGGCCTCAGGAATTTCTATTTTTAACCTGAAGATGCAAGTGGTCTAAACACCATGCTGTGGTAAACGACCTTAGAGTTATGCTAATACGGTAGTTACTAGCCACACGTGGCCACCAAGCACTTGACATGCCCAGTGCAAACTGAGATGTGCTATATCTGCAAAATATACATGATTTTGAAGATGACAAAAAATGTCAGTTTTTTCATATTGATTATGTGTTGTTAATATTTTGGATGTATTGGATTACATAAAGGGTTTTTTAAAAAATATTTATTTATTTATTTGAGAGGTAGTGTTAAGAAAGAGGGAGAGACAGAAGAAAGATCTTCCATCTGCTGTTTTTTTTCCCCAAATTGCCACAATGGCTGGAACTGGGCCAATCCGAGCCAGGAGTTGGTGCAGGGGCCAAGCACTTGGGCCATCTTCCTCTGCTTTCCCAGGCCATAGCAGAGAGCTGGAGTGGGAGAGGGGCAGCTGGGACTAGAACTGGCTCCATAAGGGATGCTGGCACTGCAGGTGGTAGATTAACCTACTGAGCATTGGTGCCGGCCCCAAGTGTATTCTTAAAATGAATTTCCCTTTTGCTTTTTACATTTTTCTTATTCTCAGGTTGCTATGTTATATTTCTTTTTTTTAAAGATTTATTTTTATTTTTTACTTGAAAGAGTTACACAGAGAGAGGAGAGGCAGAGAGAGAGAGGTCTTCCATCCACTGGTTCACTCCCCAGTTGACCACAATGGCCGGAACTGCGCCGATCCAAAGCCAGGAGCCAGGAGCTTCTTCCGGGTCTCCCACATGGGTGCAGGGGCTTAAGGGCTTGGGTCATCTTCTACTGCTTTCCCAGGCCACAGCAGAGAGCTGGATCGGAAGTGGAGTATCCGGGACTAGAACCGGCGCCCATATGGGATGCCAACGCTTCAGGCCAGGCGTTAACCCAATGCACCACAGCGTCGGCCCCAGGTTGCTATATTATATTTCTATAGGGCAGCACTGCCTTAGAGAGTTCGTGGTGACCTTGGGTATGGGAGTAAATGGCCTCTAAAGTGTGCAAAATGTTCCATGTCTCTCCTGGGGAGTCCAGCGCTTTCATTAAATTCTCAAACCACTTGGTGCTGCAACAAAAGTTGAGGATCGCTCGCCAGACTCTAGTGTGGCGATTTTAAAGCACTAAGAGCTCCATTAGTTCATTCTGTTTCTATTCTGTAATAATCCAGCACGTTCTGGACTCTACTCCCCTTTCACAGGATAAGGGCACCGAGGTTCAGAGAAGTTATGTAGCCTACCCGAGGTCACACAGCTGCCTAGTGCTAGGTTTGGACCCTTCTGTCCAGCTACTCACACAGAGTAGGCAGCTTTATTGGGCAGTCTACCTGTAATTTCTGGCTGACATAGTAAGCTGATCACTTGCTAGGGCTTATCACTGAGATGATCACAAGTCCAAGTTTGCCTGTAACAGTCCCAGATTGTGCCTTTAATCCTGTTCCAATTATTAACAACGCCCTCTTCGCTCTGTGCTCTCAAAATTGTTCCTACGTTTCATCTGCTACTCCATGCTGCGGCCATCCAGGTAGGGCTCTTGTGAGCAGGGCCCTTTTATGAGCCTCTGCCTTTTTTTTTTTTCTTTTTTTTTTTTTTTCAGTATAAAGCTTTTATTTTGTGGTCTCAGCATCATACAAACTGCTGTCCTGGTTTTCCAGCATCTTCAGAGTGACAGGAATGCCAGCAAACAGTGACCAAAGGCAAGAAATCGGTTCAGGCATCTGTGCTGTGCAGCCTTTCTGCGGGGATTGGCACCTACTTTATTTCCCTCGGTGACACCTGCTTTGACCAGGGAGTTTCGCCCTTCCCCAGTGAGCTTGCTCGACCCCGTGTGGTAAACCCAAGAGCTGCACCGATAGAGGTGGTTATATCCTGATGCTGTAATCTGGTCAAGACGGAACCTCAGGTCAGCCGCCTGCACGATGGGAATAGGAATACCTACCCTGCTGGCCGCACAGGTTTGCAATGCAGAGCAAACAAATTATTGTATCCGAATAAAAGTGGGAGCTATAAAGGAGTTTCATTCATAATAAGAAGGAAAAACTGGGGGGCCCGACCTTGTGGCATAATGAGTAAAGCCACTGTCTGTGATGCTGGCATCCCATGTGGGTGCTGGTTTCTATCCTGGCTGCTCCACTTCTGATCCAGCTCCCTGCTAATGGCCTGGAGGGGTGGTGGAGGATGGCCCAAGTGCTTGGGCCCCTTCACCCGCGTGGGAGACCTGGAAGAGGCTCCTGGCTTCAGCCTGGCCCAGCGCTAATTGTTGCGGCCATCTGGGGAGTGAACCAGCAGAAGAAAGATCTCTTTCTCTCTCTCTGTGCTCTGACTTTCAAATAAATAAATAAGTCTTTAACAACAAAAGATGAGGCCAGCACCATGGTGTAGCAGGTAAAGCCTCCTTCTGCAGTGCCGGCATCCCATATAGGTGCGTATTTGAGTCCTGGATGCTCCACTTCCGATCCATCTCTCTGCTATAGCCTGGGAAGGCAGTAGAAGATGGCCCAACTGCCTGGGCCCCTGTACCTGCATGGGAGACCTGGAAGAAGCTCCTGGCTCCTGGCTTCAGATTGGCCCAGCCCTGGCTGTTGTGGCCATTTGGGGAGTGAACCAGTAGATGGAAGACCTCTCTCTCCCTCTGCCTCTGTCTCTCTGTAACTCTGTCTTTCAAATAAATAAATAAATCTTAAAAAAAAAAAAAGAAGAAAGGAAAGAGAAGGGCTGAGTGAGGCTTCTGGATGATGTAAAATGGGATAAAGATGGGTCCACAGTATTGACTTTCTTCTCTTTCATGCACCCTTGGTGCTTCTTCCCTCATTTCACACCCACAACCTGGTCTGTGCATGCGTGCATGTGTGTGTGTGCGTGTGTGTACGCATTCCCTGCTGGTGAGCTTGGCATGAGGTAGACCTGCTGATGGAGTCCAGATGCCGTTCTCAGAGGCACTGCCAGATTAACCCTTTCCACTGTGGGAAAAAAGCTACGCAACTGTGGAAAGCAGATGGCAACGTGAGTGCTCACCCATCCCAGGTTGCTCTGCAGCCCACGAACCATCGAATCAGGAAGAATCAAAGGCCTGGCTGCAGGTGAGTCATGGCGCGGAGCTGCCAAGCGACTCTGTTTTCCTTCCAGGTCTCGACCCTGCGGGCCCTTTATTCAACGGGAAGCCTCCCCAGGACAGATTAGATCCCAGTGATGCGCAGTTCGTTGATGTCATCCATTCCGACACTGACGGTAACATTCCTGTCCTTGTGGATGTGGGACCCCACCCCACCCCCACCCCAGACCCACAGAGTCTCTCCCTGGGGGTAGCCGCGTGCTGGGGCAGGTCCAGCTCCTCTAGATTTCTTTTTTTCCTAGGGCAGGATTCCAAAGCCACAGAAATACTAAGAGAAACTGGTTTAATGCAGGCACCCGGGACCCCATGCTGGAATGGGGATGGGTTTCTCATGGTCTCTTCTTAATTTTAAAAATGACCATCAAGGACAGGCTGATTGGCATACCACATGGACAGATATTTCCACGCATGCATCTGGGTTTGGATGCATGATTTCCTGGTTTTGCTGGTTCTTTCTCATTATTTCTTTAAGCTGACAGCTAAGTTCCGGCTTTGTGTCTCATGTAGGGTGACTCTAACCCACTAGCTCTCTGGATCTTCCTGGCCATTTCATGGTGCTGAATCCACACCCAAGTGTGACTGAGTACATGTCATGGGGGTCAGGGTGATGTTCAAGCATGGGCATCTGTATCCAGATGTCTGGGAGAGAAGCTGGAGTAAGAACATGGGGAGGTCTGAGGAGACACAGCAGAGTGGTCCTGTTTGTGATACAACCCCCAAGACTCCCGAGACCCCCAGGGATACTCTGACGTGGTATCCAGCCATTTTTGCCTTCGAACAAAGATCTCTGTGAAACAGCTGCATTCTTACTGTGGTGTTTGCAAAGTATTAAGTTTCTCAAGGGCAGTACCTCAGTGTCATATTAGCGCTTGATCAAATAGAGCCATTTATTTCTTATTTTTGGGAAGTGAATTTTGAAGGAGAGGGTGGGGCTTAGAGTCAAAGGTGAACTCCAACTCCAACTCCAACTCCTCTGGCCAGGTGCTGCTCCTTCTCTCAAGGTTGTGTTGTTTCCTGAAGTCCCCTGAGCCTCGTATCTTTATTTGTTATGTTACTTCATCTGAGTTTAGGAGACACATATGTAAAACACCTAGTATGAGGCCCAGGGACACATGCAGGGTGATATATGATATTATATATATCTCAACATGTAGTGACTACTGTTATTACCATGATGCACTTCATATATGCACATATGTATGTATACATAATTATGAGTAATACTTTATCAAACATTTTACTGGTTGGTTTGGGGGTTCATGGTTAAAGAAAATAGGTATTGAAAATTTGTTTAGAACCCCTGTTCTAGAAGTGTTTCTAATATTTTTACCATCTTAAGTCCCAAATCTTTAATGATTTTTGTCTCCTAAGTAAAAATATCCATTTCTCCTGTTTTCCATTTGTGAAGATGAAGACAGGGGTCATTATGCCAGCCCTACAAGTGAAAGTCTTAGATCTTAGATAAGTACTGGAGGAAGTCAATTCCATCATCACCTTCACAGTCCCCTAGTTGGAAACCATTAGTTTCGCAGCTAACTATTGGGGTAACGTTGGGCAAAGTATTTAACTAGGTAGAACAATAATTAAAACAGTAACAAAAACAATAATAATAAATCTCTACCTATATCCTACTGGCAATGAGCTATGAAATGTGAACATTCAAACTTCTGTAAAAGTATAGTATGCTCTCTTCTAGCACTGGGCTATAAGGAACCATTAGGAAACATAGACTTCTACCCAAATGGAGGAGTGGATCAACCTGGTTGCCCCAAGACAATCTTTGAAGGTAAATACAGACACTTTATATTTTGTCCGAGGTTTGAAGAAGGCACATTTTAAAAATCTGTTATTTTTCTAGGTGGAGCCATTTTTAACAAAAGATTTCATTTATTTATTTGAGATGTAGAGTTACAGCGAGAGAGGGAGCGAAGAGAGAAAAGTCTTCCATCTGCTGGTTCATTCCCCATATGGCTGCAAAGGCTGGAGCTGTGCCCATCCGAAGCCAGGAGCCAGGAGCTTCTTCTGGTCTCCCATGTGGTGCAGGGGCCCAAGCACTTGGGCCATCTTCTACTGCTTTCCCAGGCCATAGCAGAGAGTTGGGTCAGAAGAGGAGCAGCCAGGATTAGAACTGGTGCCCATATGGCATGCTGGCACTACAGGCAGAGGCTTAATCTACTGTGCCACAGCACTGGCCCTGAAGGAGTCATTTTTAATAGAAAACAAATTTCCTGAGAATATGGAGGTGGTATATATTAAATCATAAACTAAAAGTTACAATTCAAATACATACCTTCTAAAAATTATAAATATATGATTAAAAGCTATAGTTAATTATTCCTCTCTCTTGAAAAGTGTATCTTTGGGGCTGGCTCTGTGGTGTAACTGGTAAAGCCGCCGCCTGCAGTACCGGCATCCTATATGGGCACCATATATGGGCACCAGCTCTCTGCTATGGTCTGGGAAAGCAGTAGAAGATGGCCCAAGTCCTTGGGCCCCTGCACCCATGTGGGAGACCTGGAAGAAGTTCCTGGCTCTTGGTTTTGGATTGGCACAGCTCCAGCTGTTGTGGCCAATTGGGGAGTGAGCCAGTGATGGAAGATCTCTCTCTCTCTCTCTCTGCTTCTCCTTCTCTCTCTGTGTAACTCTTTCAAATAAATAAATAAATCTTTTTTTTTAAGTGTGTCTTTGACCTAGAAATTCCACACTTTTCCTAGAGAAATAATGGGAAGTATAGACAAGAGTTAGAGAGCAAAAATCTTCAATGCAGCATTATTTATAACAGCTAAGTTTTAAAAATAATCTAAATGTACAGAAAAGGAAAGCTATTAAAGGAATTACAGTACACTCATACAAAGGAATATAATTATTAACATTGTGTTTTCAGAGATTAATGAAAATTCTTAAATATATTAAGTGAAAAGACACAAAACCATGTGATATAATCTCAGTTTATTTATTTTTTTAAGATTTTTTTATTTATTTGAAAGTTAGAGTTACACAGAAAGAAAGTTACACTGGTTCACTCCCCAAATGGCTACAATGGCCAGGCCTGGGCCAGGCTGAAGCTGGGATCCAGGAGCTTCTTCTGGGTCTCCCAGATGGGTGCATAGACCCAAGGGCCTGGGCATCCTCTAATCCTTTCCCAAGCTCATTAGCTGGGAGCTGGATTCAAAGTGGGGCAGCGGAGACTCAAACCAGCGCCCATATGGGATGCCTGTGCTGCAGGCTGTGGCTTTAACCCACTGCATCACAGCGCCAGCCCCTCAAGTTTAGTCTTTAGTTAAGACTCAAGGTTGTGTGCTATTCCCTTACAGGCACACACACACACACACACACACACACCATCTTCCATTCTGTAGTACAAAGTAGTTCTCAAAGTTTAACATGCATCACGCATCAGAATCATGAGAAAGGCTTGTGAAAACAGATTATGATACCACCCTCTCCGCCTCCCCCATTCCCTTAGGGCCAGCCCTAGAATTTACATTTCTAATGAGTTCCCAAGTTCTCTAATGCTACTGTTCTGTGATTTTGAGAGCTTCTGTGGTAAAGAAATAATCACAGGTTTGCAAGCCACATATACCCGGGCTGAAATTCCCTGATTCGCCACTTATTAGCGTGCAAAGTCAGGCTCTGTGCCTCAGCTTTCTCACCTCATTTTCTACATCTACAAAGTGAGGCTCATGCCACCTACTTCACATACTGTGAGGGTTAGCACTACATTACATAAGGCACCTGCTACATAAGATGTACCCTTCTGATTAGTGTTATTCTGGGACTTACACAATTTATAGATATCTGGTTTTAAAATACGTGAAAGAAAATTTCGGGATACTTAATTTGCCAAGTAAGGGAAAAAAAATTAAACGACAGAAGCATATCTAAACAGGCAGTGTCTTTAAAGCATACTTGCTTTAATTCTTGGCACAACCTTAATTTGATTTCATCTTTTCTCCTGTCACTTGCCAGCATGAATCGTTATGCATGACTTTTTTTTTTTTTTAATAAAAAGCTTTTATTTAATAAATATAAATTTTGTAAGTACAACTTTTGGATTATAACTGTTCTTCCCCCCCATACCTGCCCTCCTACCCCCAGACCATCCCCTTCTACTCCCTCTCTCATTCCATTCTTCATTAAGATTTATTTTTTATTATCTTTATATACAGAAGATTAACTCTATACTAAGTAAAGATTTTAACAGTTTGCATCCACACAGACATACAAAGTATAAAGTACTGTTTGAAGACTAGTTTTACCATTAATTCTCATAGTACAACACATCAAGGACAGAGGTGCTACATGGGGAGCAAGTGCACAATGACTCCCTGTTGTCGATTTGATAATTGACACTCTTATTTATGATGTCAGTGGTCACCTGAGGCTCTTGTCATTAGCTGCCAAAGCTACGGAAGCCTCTTGAGTTCACAAACTCTGACATTATTTAGACAAGACCATAATCAAAGTGGAAGTTCTCTCCTCCCTTCAGAGAAAGGTACCTCCTTCTTTGATGGCCCCTTCTTTCCACCAGGATCTCACTCACAGAAAACTTTCATTTAGGTCTTTTTTGCCACAGTGTCTTGGATTTCCATATGCGTCGGTTTTTATTTTTATTTTTTTATTTTTATTTTTGACAGGCAGAGTGGACAGTGAGAGAGAGAGAGACAGAGAGAAAGGTCTTCCTTTGCCGTTGGTTCACCCTCCAATGGCCCCGTGGCCAGTGCGCTGTGGCCGGCGCACCGCGCTGATCCGATGGCAGGAGCCAGGTGCTTATCCTGGTTTCCCATGGGGTGCAGGGCCCAAGGACTTGGGCCATCCTCCACTGCACTCCCTGGCCACAGCAGAGAGCTGGCCTGGAAGAGGGGCAACCGGGACAGACTCCGGCGCCCCGACTGGGACTAGAACCCGGTGTGCCGGTGCTGCAAGGTGGAGGATTAGCCTAGTGAGCCGCAGCGCCGGCCTTCCATACGCATCGGTTTTTATAAGGAGAAAATGGAACCAAGCACACTGAAGCTGTTAGCACAGTATCTGGCATGGGGTAGACGGGTGATAAGCTGTGTATGTGTGTATAAAACGTGTCATGTGCTATGATTAAATATTTCAACTACTCTGCTCTTTACCATTCCTTCTACAAAGCAGGGATGCAGTACTTTAAATGTGACCACCAGATGTCCGTGTACCTGTACCTTTCCTCCCTGAGAAAGAACTGTACCATCACTGCATACCCCTGCGACTCCTACAGGGATTACAGGAATGGCAAGTGCATCAACTGCGGCCTACCCCAAGGGAAGCCCTGCCCCCTGCTGGGTAAGTCCAACAAGCAGTTTCCCTATCTGATTCATGAACAACTTTTGTTATGAACCCCAGAACCACTTTACTATCTAAAAACGGGTCTCCAAACTATATTTTATTTATTTATTTTCATTGCATTTGAAAGGCAGAGAGACACAGACAAGACAGACAGGAACCTTCCATTGGCAGGTTTACTTTCCAAATGCCCACGACTCCATCTGGGTTTTCCATGAGGGTGGTAGGGACCCAAGTACCTGAGCTATTATCAGACCCTCCAAAGTGCGTATTAATAGGAAGGTGGATTGTAAGTGGAGGGAATGGGACTTGAATCAGGTGCTCTATTATGGGATGGGGCATTCCAAGTGATGACTTAATGGCTGCACCAAATTCCACCTCCCCCTGCAATATACACACATTGTATTACAAAAATAAAATGCATCTAAGGGCCAGTGTTGTGGTATAACAGCCTAAGCCACCACCTGTAACCCAGCATTCCATATGGGTGCTGGTTGGGGTTCCGGCTGCTCCACTTACTATCTAGCTCCCTGCTAATGGCCTGGGAAAGCGGTAGAAGATGGCTCAAGTACTTGCCCTTTCTCCCACATGGGAGATCTAGATAAAGCTATGGGCTCCTGGCTTCGGCCTGGCCCAGCTCTGGCCACAACAGCTGTTGGAGAGTGAATTAACCAGGCCAAAGCCAGGAGCCTGTAGCTTTGTCTGGGTCTCCCATGTGGGTTCAGGGGCCCAAGCACTTGGACCATCTTCTGTTGCTTTCCCAAGCCATTAGCAGGGAGCTGGATTGGGAGTGGAGTAGCTGGACTCAAACCGGCACATATGGGATGCTGGCATCTCAGGGTCAGCTTAACCCTCTATGTCACGATGCTGGCCCCATAAAATAACTCTTTAAAAAATGTATTTAGTTAGATTTTGTAGTCAATTTGTTCTTTGGACAACTGCAGTCTCATAATAAAGAATTAGAAAAGTAATCTGTATCCAGAAGGTAAGTACAACCTCCATGGACACTATCCTAGCATGAAGAAGAGGCTCCAGCAGTTTCTGAGCCCAGCCCAGACAAAGTCACTTTATACAGGCTGCCCCTGTGAGAACAGGAGCACTCTGTCACACAGCCTCTGCTGGGGTAAGGCCCACAGTGAGACCAGAGGCCATTCTGCCCGATGAGCCTCACAGAGTGATTCCTTCTCACGGGCTGGTCTGTGAATGCCCTCACGCCACGTCCTGGCTTCTGTGTGTGTAGGTAGGTCCAGTGAGGTCCAGCGAGGTAACAGATGCCATGGAGGATGCTGGGATATTTGCTTAGAAACATCCTAAGTGGTCAGGACTTTGAAACTGGGTGTCCATCAGGAATTTTTTTTTTTGCAAAAGAGAAAGCCCAAGTTCACAGCATGGCATGTTTTAGACAAGGATTTCTGAATCATCTAGGGAATTTTTTTTTTTTAATGGATGCTGGAGTGGGCACTGTGGCACAGTAGGTTATAAGCCACTGCCTGCAACACCCGCATATCAGAGCACCAGGTCAAGTCCTGGTTCTGCTCTTGATCCCAGCTTCCTGTTAATGCACTCTGAGAAGCAGTGGATGATGATTCAAGTGCTTAGGAGACCTACCACCAATGTGAGATGGAGCTCCGGGCTCCTGGTGTCACCCTGGTCCAGCCCTGGCTGTTGCAGGCATTTGGGGAATGAACTAGCAGATGGAAGATCTCTCTGTCTGTCTCTTTGTTGGGATACCTTTCAAGTAGATAAGAATTATAAGTTACATTCTTATAAATAAATAATACTGATTCTTGAGGTTCCACCCCCCCTCCCCAAATTAAGTCAGATTTTAGGGGCTGTTCTCCCCTTGGACACAGTAGTCAACATGGTTTCCTGCAAGCACAGTCATGAATGAACGCACTTTCTAGGTGACAAAGTTGCATAGCAAGCCCAGGATCTGTGTACCTTAGGGGCCCAACTATAGTTCTTCAAGAAAGTACACTGCTTTGCAAGAGTGATGCTATTTTAGGTATAAACCTGAATCTATTTTAATCTAGAAAGTACTTGTACTGCTGAAAAACATTAGGACTATTTTTAGTCCTTGCCAGTGGGAGTGAACCGCTCCCCACTCCCCCACACTGCCACTAAGAATCAGTAAAGGAGAAAAAGCCGCCCAGCTCTCAGGGAGCTACCAGGGAGACTGCCTGGTAGCCCTGCAGCTTCTCACCCTAGGGCTGGAGAGATGGGAAGAGGTTGCCAGGGTAGTGGTAGCTGCCATCCAATGCGCTGTTCTCATTACCTCTATTGCTTTTAGGTTTATATAGTATGTGATAACGTGATACTTTTCCAACTTGTTCTACAGGCTACTATGCTGACAACTGGAAAGATTATTTAAGTGAGAAAGACCCTCCAATGACTAAAGCATTCTTTGATACAGCTGAGAAGGAGCCATACTGCAGTGAGTGGTGAATATGGGTGTTCCCTTTTCTTCAACCCTTTTATTTGGGACATGGCTGAGTCTCAGGTTCCCAGCCACTTCTTGGCAGGTGAGAGCCATGGTAAAGCAGGCACTTTGTAGCTGGAAGGGCCCAGGGAAAATCCCGATTATATCACATAACAGTTGTATGATCTCTGCCAAGATATTTAGCTTCTCCTAGTCTCAGTGTAGTGCTTGGCAAAATGAGGGATAATCATGCCTACCTTCTGAATTGCTAGGATTAAAATCTCAATAAATCAGAGATGTTAACTTCACTGGATGGCCACTCTAATCACCACCAAGAGCTTTCACAAGATTGCTTGCTTTCCCAAGGAACATGAAAATGGGGTTGGGGAAAATCAGATATTAGCCACAATGATGGGTCAGTTCCAGTTCTAAGGCACCCATGATGACCTAAAGACATTTACTCAGGAGGTCGTGTGTCCCAGATGGGAGCTAAATGGGGCAGTACGTGATTAGGTACCCTGGGAAGCTCCTAGGAGTGCATCATTTTTCACTTTTCTTGGGAGCAGTTCTTTTTAGAGTTTGCAGATCACTGGGTTTCCCTCATCCTTGGAGCCATGTGTGGCAGCCCAGGATTTGACATCTGCTTTGTGTGCACTGGGCAAGCCCCTCAGCAATAAGGGATCATGACACAACTCCAGGGCGGGCCTGTTTCATAGGATCACTATCTCCCTGAGCCTCTTTCCCTTTCTCTGCAAGTCTCACCAAAAGGTGGCAAATCTGACTATCCTGAAGGGGTCACCATCTTCCCAAAACATCCTTGTATAAAATATTCAAGGAGGGGCTGGTGTTGTGGCACAGTAGGTTAATCCTCTGTCTGCGGTCGTCCTCTGTCTGAGGTGCCGGCATGCCATATGGGTGCTGGTTGTAGTCCTGGATGCTCCATTTCCATCCAGCTCTCTGCTGTGGCCTGGGAAATCAGTTGAAGATGACCCAAGTGCTTGGGCCCCTGCACCTGCGTGGGAGACCCGGAAGAAGCTCCTGGCTCCTGGCTTTGGATCAGTTAAAAAGCTTCAGCTGTTGTGTCCATTAGGGGAGTGAACCAGTGGATGGAAGACCTCTCTCTCTGTCTCTCCCTCTCACTGTCTGTAACTCTGACACTCTCAAATAAATAAATAAATAAATAATTTTTAAAAAGTTCAGGGCGGAAAAGCGGTTCTCTGAACACATTATGTGTTCTCACTTATTCAACAGGAGTTTATTAGGTGCCCATACAGCATTATTGCTGGGATTACAAAGAGGAACAATCACCCCTTCCCAGTAACTGATGTAGTATACATACTTTAGCTTTGTCTTTTTTTTAAAGCCCTGTAAGACATTCTTTAAGGAATATTTGTATAGATTTATTACTTTCTTATATTCTTTTTTTGTCTTTCTTTTTTTTAACTTTTATTTAATGAATATAAATTTCCAAAGTACAGCTTATGGATTACAATGGCTCCCCCCCACAACTCCCCTCCCACCCAAAACCCTCCCCTTTCCCACTCCCTCTCCCCTTCCATTCACATCAAGATTCATTTTCAATTCTTTTTATATACAGATCAGTTTAGCATATATTAAGTAAAGATTTCAACAGTTTGCACCCACATAGAAACACAAAGTGAAAAATACTGTTTGAGTACTAGTTATAGCATTAAATCACAATGTACAGCACATTAAGGACAGAGATCCTACATGAGGAGTAAGTGCACAGTGACTCCTGTTGTTGACTTAACAAATTGACACTCTTGTTTATGGCGTCAGTAATCATCCTAGGCTCTTGTCATGAGTTGCCAAGGCAATGGAAGCCTTTTGAGTTCACCGACTCTGATCATATTTAGACAAGGTCGTAGTCAGAGTGGAAGTTCTCTCCTCCCTTCAGAGAAAGGTACCTCCTTCTTTGATGACCTGTTCTTTCCACTGGGATCTTTCATTTAGGTGTTTTTTGTTGTTGTTGTTGGTTTTTTTTTTTTTTTTTTTGCCAGAGTGTCTTGGCTTTCCATGCCTGAAATACTCTCATGGGCTTTTCAGCCAGATCCGTATGCCTTAAGGGCTGATTCTGAGGCCAGAGTGCTGTTTAGGACATCTGCCATTCAATGAGTCTGCTGTGTATCTGTGTATCTCGCTTCCCATGTTGGATTGTTCTCTCCTTTTCATATTCTTTCTCGCATTTTCCAAATACAGCAAAATGTGCTAAGTAGTTACGCGGGGAGTCCAGAATATGCCAGAAACTCCAAGTCAGGAGACTTAACTTAGCCTATGGGTCAAGAAAGGCTTCCTGGAGGAAATCCCATTAGGATAAAACCAGGCAAAGCAAGAGTGTCCAGGTGGGGGGAGGCCCAGGACCAAGAGAGAGCTTGGCAGTACAGAAAGGCAGGTGGTTTTGCCTGGCCAGTAAAGACAGGAGGGAAACAGGTAGGGTGGCTGACATGGCCTGTACTGCGGAAAACCTCGTCAGTCATGCAGGGTCTCCCGTGGCCATCAGTTTATCCTAAAACAGGCAGGAATTGAAGTGAACCAATCGTACTGAGAAGCAGGCCCTGAGATATCAGTCAATGAGGCAGAAACACTGGTTCGACTGTGGTGCCTGAGTATGGTACTGGACACCATTGAACTCTGCTGTCACTTCTGCTATTTTTACCAAACAGAAGAGAAAGGAATAGTGGGAAGTTCTGCCCTGGATCTCTGCAGAGGAACAAGAGACCAAAGGGACTCAGTTATCAGGGGGATGGGTTTAGGAATCAGCCCTTCCAGGGAGCAGCTGGGAGTTGCTCTCTTACCCTGTTCTCTCCCTGTTTTGCAGTGTATCATTATTTTGTGGATATTATAACTTGGAACAAGAGCATCAGAAGAGGGTCCATTACAATCAAATTGAAAGATGAAGCTGGAAACACCACAGAATCCAAAATCAATCAGTAAGTTGAACTACAATAGTTTGCAGTTTCCTGTTTTCCCTTTAGCTCAGAGATTCCAAATATGCCTATTTTCTTATTTATGGTTCTGCACTTCTGCTCTACAGAAGATGAAGGGCATATGTTTCCAAGCTGCTTGTCCAGTTGGTCTCCACTCCCAGCCTGTTTATAACTGGATTTGGTGCCGGGGATTTGCTTTCCTCCCTCCCTCCCTTTCCCTGCTCTCCTCTTACTTCCTTTGATGAAATATTTAATTGCAAAAGTCATCTTGCTTGCTGTAAGGATTTAAGCAATAAAGGAATATGCTGATTTTATCATTCCACATTAAACATACAAATCGAGACATCACATTGTACCCCATAAATATATACGATTGGTCAGTTATAAATAATATTAATTAAAAAACAATAAAGGAATATGCAACATAAAAGTACAAGTCAGGGCCGGCACTGTGGTGTAGTGGTTAAAGCCACCACCTGCAATGCTGGCATCCCATATGGGCACTGGTTCAAGTCCCGGCTGCTCCACTTCCAATCCAGCTCTTTGCTATGGCCTGGGAAAGCAGTAGCAGATGGCCCAAGATGGCTTCAGATCAGCCCAGCTCTGGCTATTGCAGCCATTTGGGGAGTGAACTAGCAGATAGAAGACCTCTCTCTCTGTCTCTGCCTCTGCCTCTCCGTAACTCTGTCTTTCAGATAAATAAATAAAGTCACTGCCCTATCCCCTCCAACAATCTCACCCCAAAGGCAAAAAGGCACATATATACCTCTATTTTTTATCAGCTCATAATATACATATATATAAACATAAAACATGTACATCTACTTTTGTGCACACATGTGAGGGGTCTTCAAAATGTTCAAGGAAAATATATATTGTAGAAAAGTATGAATAGATTTTGCGGCGCCGCATCTCACTAGGCTAATCCTCCGCCTTGCGGCGCCGGCACACCGGGTTCTAGTCCCGGTCGGGGCGCCGGATTCTGTCCCGGTTGCCCCTCTTCCAGGCCAGCTCTCTGCTGTGGCCAGGGAGTGCAGTGGAGAATGGCCCAAGTGCTTGGGCCCTGCACCCCACGGGAGGCCAGGATAAGTACCTGGCTCCTGGCTTCGGATTGGCGCGGTGCACTGGCCGCAGCGCGCCACCGGAGCGGCCATTGTGGGGTGAACCAACGGAAAAAAGGAAGACCTTTCTCTCTGTCTCTCTCTCTCACTGTCCACTCTGCCTGTTAAAAAAAAAAAAAGAAAACTATGACTAGATTTCAAAAATTTTTGCACCAAGATACTTTTAATTCCATTTTCCAGAAACTTTTGAAAGTATTCATACGTACACTCCTCATAAATACATGTTTCTGAATCATATATATGTATATATGGTATATATGCCACTGCTGGATTTTAGGGTATTTCTATTTTTATTGAGAATTTTATAAGTTTGGAATAAAAATGAGTTTGGAATAAAAATTTTATGAGTTGGTACAAAATTCTCAATAAAAATAGAAACACCCTAAAATCCAGCAATGGCATTTATACCTCATAAATATATATGTCTGTGTTTCTGAATAATATATATATTTCTGAAACTAAAACTCATAAAATGTAATTTCTTTTTTTTTAAAGATTTTATTTACTTATTTGAGAAGTAGAGTTACAGACAGTGAGAAGGAGAGAGAGAAAGAGAGAGGAGAAAGGGAGAGAGAGAGAAAGTCTTCCATCTGCTGGTTCACTCCCCAAATGTCTGCAATGGCCAGAGCTGGCCTGATCCGAAGCCAGGATCCAGGAGCTTCTACTGGGTCTCCCATGCAGAACAGGGGCCCAAAGTCTTGAGCCATCTTTTACTGCTTTTCCAGGCCATAGCAGAGAGCTGGATTGGAAGTGCAGTAACCTGGACTTAAACTGGTGCCCATACAGGATGCCAGCACTGAAGGTGGTGGTTTTACCTGCTATGCCACAGTGCTGGCCCTGACTTGTACTTTTATGTTGCATATTCATTTATTGTTTTTAAATTAATATTGTTTTAAATTAATATTAAAAATTAAGCATAGCAGAGAGCTAGATTGGAAGAGGAGCACCCAGGACATAAACCAGTGCCCATATGGGATGCTGGCTCCACAGGTGGAGAATTAACCTACTGTGCCACAGCGCCGGCCCCAGAAAATGTATTTTCAGTAAAAATGAAAAGTACCCTAAAATTTGAACAATGATAAAGTGATTAATTTTAAAATTCCCATGTTAAAGAATGTTATGCATACACTGAAGTCACTTATGAAACATTATTATTTATGCTTATAATGTGCTAATTAAAAATGTAGAAAATCATAAAGTATAATGTTAGCTCAACAATTAAATAAATGAAAAATCCATGCTAAAATATTACACTGCCCTTTGCATTGAAGGAATAGGAGGTTTTTTGTTGTTGTTTTCAGCTTTTCCATTTTCTGATGGTTTATATTTTATATATATATATATAATATGTTCATTCCATCCATTTTTTTTTAATTTTTTAAAATTTTTTATTTTTTTGACAGGCAGAGTGGACAGTGAGAGAGAGAGACAGAGAGAAAGGTCTTCCTTTGCTGTTGGTTCACCCTCCAATGGCTGCCGCTCTTTTCCTGGTCTCCCATGGGGTGCAGGGCCCAAGCACTTGGGCCATCCTCCACTGCACTCCCTGGCCACAGCAGAGAGCTGGCCTGGAAGAGGGACAACCGGGACAGAATCTGGCGCCCCAACCGGGACTAGAACCCGGGGTGCTGGCGCTGCAGGCGGAGGATTAGCCTAGTGAGCCACGGCACTGGCCCATTATTTTTATAATCAGGAAAAGGGGGAGCGAAATCCTTTACTTTAAGCAAAGTAATGTGAGGCTTTTATTCATTTCCTCAGGAAATTTTCCTGGGACCTATTGTTTTATCAGCCACTTCGGCTGTCTCTTGGCTATAACCAGAATACTAAATAAGGTGTCAGCTGAGGGAACAGCGCTGGGGCGCAGCGGGTTAAAGCCCTGGCCTGAAGCTCTGGCATCCCATATGGGCACTGGTTCTAGTCCCAGCTGTTCCTCTTCCGATCCACCTCTCTGCCATGGCCTAGGAAAGCAGTGGAGAATGGCTCTGGTGCTTGGGCCCCTGCACCCAGGTGGGAGACCTGGAAGAAGCTCCTGACTCCCGGCTTTGGATCGGCCAGAGGGCTCAGTTCTGGCCATTGCAGCCATCTGGGGAGTGAACCAGCAGATGGAAGACCTCTCTCTGTGTCTCTACCTCTCTCTGTAACTCTGTCTTTCAAATAAATAAAATGTTCTTTCTTTCTTTTTTTTATTTATTTGACAGGTAGAGTTACAGACAGTGAGAGAGACAGAAAGAAAGGTCTTCCTTCCGTTGGTTCACTCCCCAAATGGTTGCTACGGCCATTGCTGTGCCAATCTGAAGCCAGGAGCCAGGTGCTTCTTCCTGGTCTCCCACACGGGTGCAGGCGCCCAAGCACTTGGGCCATCTTCTTCTGCTTTCCCAGGCCATAGCAGAGAGCTGGACTGGAAGAGGAGCAACCGGGACTAGAAACCGGTGCCCATATGGGATGCCAGCGCTGCAGGCAGAGGATTAACCATGTGAGCCACAGCGCCGGCCCAATAAAATAAATCTTTAAAAAACAAAACAAAACGATGTCAGCTGAAACTGGCAGTTTTGTCTTTGGGTTCAGTGTGTACACAGGTGTGGGTGGGTGGCTTGGAGGTCATTTTTGATGACCTTGGATCACAAAAATAAAAATAATTTGTTTATTAAATTAAGCATGTTATATACATCGGCTAATGCAACTCCCACTGAAATGCAGTGAGGCAACACTAACCTCCTTATTTTATAAATCTGCAAACTGAGGTCAGACAGGCTGAGTGAACTGGCCAGTATTACACAGCTGGTCATTGTGGCTTAGCTGCAATCAGAAGCAGATCTCTCCAACTCAACACTTATACTTTTTCACTTCATTATATCCCTCCCACTAAGCTGTGTTGTTTAATTCAGATTTTAACACACAGTAATATTTCATTCCTTTTAGTGGGCAAATAATACTTCATTGAATGTATGCAAGGGTATCTTAAACAGTTTGTGAAAAAATAGAATTAGATGATAACTTTATTTTGGTGCAAATTTTTTTGATATTTATTTATATCTTTTTCATAGCATGCATTTTTCATGAAGTTCTGATGACTTCTTGTATGTCACATTTTATTTATCAGCTGATAGGTATTTGGCTTGTTTCTGATTTCTGGCTACTAGGAACAATGCTGCTATGAATACGTGTATGCAGATTTTTGTATGGACATGTTTTCATTTCTTGTGGAAATGCATCTAGGAATTGCTGGGTCATACAGTAACTCTATAGCTAACATTTTGGGTACTACCACACTGTTTTCCAAAGCAATTCTACTACTTTACATTCCCACTGGCAGATACAGGATTCTCTGCATCCTTGCCAACACTCATTATTGTGTCCTTTTTAGAAAGTTTGTTCTTTTTTATTGTGGTAAAATACATAACATAAAATTTTTACCAACATAACCTTTTTCTGGTGCCCAATTCAGTAGTGTTAAGTGTGTTACATTGTCTAGAACTTTCTCCTCTAGCAAATGTGAAACTCCACGCTCTTTAGAACACTTCCCTTTCCCCCTCCCTAGGCTCTAGTACTTCCTCTGTGCAGACTCTGCCTTACATGGCTCATGGAAGGGGAATCACGTATCTCACTTAGCATATGTCCTCAAGTTCATGCATTTGGTGCATGTGACAGGGTTTTCTTCAGTTTTAGGGGTGAATAATGTTCCTTTGTATGTCCACAGCACATACGTTGTATATTCATCTGTTGATGTACCCTTTTGTTATGTTTTTTTTTCCGACAGGCAGAGTGGACAGTGAGAGAGAGAGACAGAGAGAGAGAAAGGTCTTCCTTTGCCGCTGGTTCACCCTCCAATGGCCGCCGCTGCAGCCGGCGCACCGCGCTGATCCTGGCAGGAGCCAGGAGCCAGGTGCTTTTCCTGGTCTCCCATGGGGTGCAGGGCCCAAGCACCTGGGCCATCCTCCACTGCACTCCCTGGCCATAGCAGAGAGCTGGCCTGGAAGAGGGGCAACCGGGACAGAATCCGGCGCCCCAACCGGGACTAGAACCCGGTGTGCCGGCGCCGCAAGGTGGAGGATTAGCCTATTGAGCCACGGCGCCGGCTGATGTACCCTTGAGTTGCTTCTACCTCTTGGTTTTCGTTGAGTAGAACTGTGATAAATGGAATGGAGACATCTCTTCAAGACTCTCAATAATTTTTTTTGTTATATTTCCAAAAGTAGCCTTTCTAGGTCATATGGTAATTCTTCTAACTTTTTTCAGCTATCAACACAGTTTTCCTTGGCATTTGCCCTGTTTTCCAATTCCATCAATAACACCCAAGGATTGCAGTTTCTCCATATGCTCACTAATACTTGTTCTTTCCTGTTATCTTGATAGTAGCCCTCCTGAGGAGTGTGTGGTGATTCTGCCACCTTTTGGACATTTCCATCACTCTCTGAAGCACCTCTTAACTTTCTGGCACACAGGCTATTCCAAGTTCACTTTGCATTTTTTCTGACATAGCCCTGGAATCAACTGTTTCTCCCAGGAGTGCTGGTTCCTGTTAGTGGAGATAATATTTTAGAAACCAAAATCTGGGTACCTTCGGGTTAGTTTTACTTGTGGCCTTTCTGAACTCCAGGGGCCTGAGACATGATTCCCGTGGGGTTGGGGTGACAAACCTCTTGACACACATGCTACCCCCAAACTAAGAACCAATGTCTAGAGCAAGCCTACTGTTCCTGACCTTGCGGTCCTCCTGGCTGGTCACAACCAACTCTCTCAGTTCTCCAGAAAAACAATACCCAAGGTGAACGCCTCCACTGATATGCCCTAGTGTCCACTTGGGATTTGTAGAAAACATCTCTACATACTTGGGGCAAAGTGTTAGAACCTGGATTGATCTATTTTAAGATTCATCTCGAGAAGGAGGACTGAAAAATAGATATTTTCAAGCATAACTTCTCAATTTTTTATCTAGTTTGGCTAAAATTATACATATGCATCTAGCAATGCAGAGCTGGGTCTGAATCCTTGTGCTGCTACATCTAAGCCCTATTACCCAAGTAGTGTTGCACTGCAAATACGTTTCGCTGTCTAGTAAGTAAGGAGAGCAATCCCACCTTGCAGAATGCTGCAGGGGATTGGACAGATGTGTCAAGATGAGGACACTGTTGAGCATACAGCAGGCAGTCACTAGCAGCATCCCTCTCATGCCACGTAAGGGTTAGTAGCTTTACTTATGCCGTCCTTGGGACTCAGCAGACTTTGTCCATGAAGATCACCTAGAGCAAGCTAAGGGACCAACTGGTTACCTGCTTCCCAGTGATCTGTAGGCTGCAAAACTGCATTCTCTCATTAGCTCTCCATATTTATTAATTTATTTTATTTTTGTAGCATGGTAAGGTTTATTTAGAAAGTGAGAAGAATATACAGGCACATGAGTTCATTTAGGGAGAGTGGGCCAGAAAAGATAAAGGGAATTTTATACCCTGCTCTGCTTGTCCTGGGTCCTTGAGGAGAGAGAAACAGCCCCTTCACAGGGCTTTTATCAGCTTCAAAAAGGGGAGGGGCCAGTACTGCGGCCTAGTGGGCTGGGTTTCCACCTGCAGCGCCAGCATCCCATATCGGGGCTGGTTTGTGTCCTGGCTGCTCCTTTTCCAATTCAGTGCTCTCTGTTGTGGCCTGGGAAAGCAGTGGAAGATAGCCCAAGTGCTTCGGCCCCTGTACCTGTGTGGGAGACCTGAAAGAAGCTCCTGGCTCTGGATTGGCCCAGCTTCGGCCATTGCGACTATTTGGGGAGTGAACCAGTAGATGGAATACCTCTCTCCCTCCTTCCCTCTCTCTCTCTCTTTGCTTGTAACTCTGCCTCTCAAAGAATTAAATAAAATATTAAAAGAAAAAAGTGGGGGGAGGCAGTGGTTACACAGGTCCCCAGGTCCCAGGTAAGAGGAGAGGCATCTTAGGAAGGGGCCATCTGATTGATGATAGGATTACGTGGGAATGGGGTATGTGTGGCCTCTAGCTCATGAACTTGATCTATCTCCCTGACTTTTCCTACTTCATTTTCTATAGCCATTTAAAATTACATATTATCTCTTCCTTCCAGTGAACCAGCCACATTTGAGAAATATCATCAAGTGAGTCTGCTTGCAAGATTTAATCAAGATCTGGATAAAGTGGCAGAAATTTCCTTGGTGTTCTCCACGGGAGCTGTAATAGGCCCAAAGTACAAGCTCAGGATTCTCCGAATGAAGTTAAGGTCGCTTGCCCATCCAGAGAGGTGCGCTGAAGGAGGGCTGAACAAGCCTATTTTGTTAAAAGATTTATTTGGGGAGGGTAGTGTTGCAGAGTAGCAGGTAAAGCTGCCACCTGCAATGCTGGCATCCCATATGGGTGCTGGTTTGAGTCCTAGCTGCTCTACTTCCCATCCATCTCCCTGCTAATGTGCCCAGGAAAGGGAGAGGAATATGGCCCAAGTCCTTGGGTTGCTGCATTCATGTGGGAGGTCCTGAAAAAGCTCCTGACTCCTGGCTTCAGTGTGGCCCAGCCCTGGCCATTGCAGTCATCTGGGAAGTGAACCAGCGGATGGAATAGCTCTCTGTCTCTCCCTCTCTGTCTAACTGTGCCTTTCAAATACATTTTTAAAAAACAATTAAAAAATAAAAATAATTTTAAAAATATTTATTTATTTGAAAGGCAAAGTTACAGAGGAGGAGAGAGAGAGAGAGAGAGAGAGAGAGAGAGAGAGAGACCGATCTTCCACCTGCTGGTTCACTCTCCAAATGGCTACAACGGCTGGGGATGGGCCAGGCCAAAGCTAAGAGCCAGGAATTTCATCCGGGTCTCCAATGTGGTGCAGGGACCCAAGGACTTGGGCCATATTCCTCTCCCTTTCCCAGCAGCATTAGCAGGGAGCTGGGTTGGAAATGGAGCAACCAGGACTAGAACCAGTACCTATGGTGGGATGCCAGCATTGCAGGTGGCAGCTTAACCCATTGTGCCACAATGCCTACGCCACAAGTTCCATGTTTTCCAAAATGTTTAATACTGCCCAATCTGCTTGGTCTAATGTTTTAGCATGACTCCATCATTCACAATGAGGACAGTTAGGGGTTTTCCAAAAAGAGTCTTGATTAAAAATAAGCAGCCTGGCCAGCGCCGCAGCTCAATAGGCTAATCCTCCGCCTGCGGCGCTGGCACACCAGGTTCTAGTCCTGGTTGGGGCACTGGATTCTGTCCCAGTTGCTCCTCTTCCAGTCTAGCTCTCTGCTGTGGCCCGGGAGTGCAGTGGAGGATGGCCCAGGTCCTTGGGCCCTGCACCCCATGGGAGACCAGGAGAAGCACCTGGCTCCTGGCTTCGGATCAGCGCGGTGCACCGGCCGCAGCGGTCATTGTGGGGTGAACCAACGGCAAAAAGGAAGACCTTTCTCTCTGTCTCTCTCTCTCACTGTCCACTCTGCCTGTCAAAAAATAAAAAAAAATAAAAAATAAAAAATAAGCAGCCTAATAATCCAAGAAAATAATACTGGTATGGGCTTAAATAAAAATGGCCCAGTAATCCAAGAAAATAATGTTATGTGCTAAGAGTTTTGTAACTCCTCCTAACCACCAACATGGTTTGCCAGCAGATAATGTGTTGTAAGAAAGAAAACTGTGTAATTTGGCAAACTGATAAAACAAAGCCTTGTGCTAAAAGGACTATCAACTATCTTAAGTTGTTTTTTTTTTGTTTGTTTGTTTGTTTTTGTTTTTTTTAATAGACAGTTAGACAGTGAGAGAGAGATAGAAAGATCTTCCTTCTGTTGGTTCATCCCCCCCCCCAAATGGCTGCTATGGCCAGAGCTGCGCCAATCCGAAGCCAGGAGCCAGGTGCTTCCTCTTGGTCTCCCGTGCGGGTGCAGGCACTCAAGCACTTGGGCCATCCTCCACTGCCTTCCTGGGCGCCACAGCAGAGAGCTGGACTCGAAGAGGAGCAGCTGGGACTAGAACCTGGTGCCCATACGGGATGCCAGCGCCGCAGGCGGAGGATTAACCAAGTGAGCCACAGCACCGGCCTCTATCTTAATGTTAAAGTGATCATGTGGATAGGGTTGAGTGGTTGGTAATAATAATAGATAGAATTAAAAAGGAGTGAATGCTCCAACATGGGAAGCAATCCACACAGCAGACTCATAGAATGCCAATCACTTTATTTTTTTATTATTTATTTATTTTTTAATTAAAAAAAATGTTTTTTGACAGGCAGAGTGGACAGTGAGAGAGAGAGACAGAGAGAAAGGTCTTCCTTTGCCATTGGTTCACCCTCCAATGGCCGCCGCAGCCGGCGCGCTGCGGCCGGCGCACCGCGCCGATCCAATGGCAGGAGCCAGGTACTTATCCTGGTCTCCCATGGGGTGCAGGGCCCAAGCACTTGGGCCATCCTCCACTGCACTCCCTGGCCACAGCAGAGAGCTGGCCTGGAAGAGGGGCAACCGGGACAGAATCCAGCGCCCTGACCGGGACTAGAACCCGATGTGCCGGAGCCGTAACGGGGAGGATTAACCTAGTGAGCCGGGGCACCGGCCGCCAATCACTTTAAATAGTACTCTGACCTCAGAATCAGGCCTTCAGGCATTCTGCTCTGGCTGAAAAGCCCACGAGAGCATTTCAGGCATGGAAAGCCAAGACTTTATGGCAAAAGATATACTACATGAAGGATCTTGATGGGTGAGACCCCAGTGGAAAGAAGTGGTCATCAAAGAAGGATGTACTTTTCTCTGGAGGGAGGAGGGAACTTCCACTTTGCTGATGGCCTTGTCTGAATACTGACAGTTTGTGGAGTCAAAAGGCTTCCATTGCTTAGGCAGCTCAAGTCAAGAGTGTCAGGTGATCACTGACGTCATACATAAAAGTGTTAATTGTTAAATTAACAAGAGTCACTGTGCTCAAACTTCCCATGCAGGACCTCTGTCCACAAAGAGTTGTATTATAATTATGTCTAAGTGCTTGCAAAACATGTATCATTCTTGGTGCTTCTTAAAAGAAAAAAGGTAAAATTAACTTCAAGATGCAATGACTTTGAACAGCCCTTGTCTGGACTGTTGAGGAACAGGTTTTGTTGTTGTTGCTATTGTTGTTGTTGTTGTTGTTTTTTTCATGCAAATTGTTGAACTCTTTACTTAGTACAGAGTTGGTCTTCTGTGTATAAAGTTAATCGAAAATGGATCTTAGTGGGGAATGGGCCTGGGGAGGGGAGTGGTAGGAGGAGGAGGGGGTGGGAAGAATCACTATATTCCTAAAATTGAACTTAAGAAGCATGAAGTTTGTTTCCTTAAATAAAAGATTTCTTTGGGGGAAAAAGGGAAGTGTATAGAAAATTCAGAATATTTTATTCCATTGTCAGTATAAATGTTTTATATCAATATTAACTTTCTTAAATTTGATAACTATACTGAGAATGCCCCTGTTAGGAAATACACACTTTTTATTATTATTTTTTGTTTTTTTTTTTTTTTTGAAAGACAGAGTTAAGGGGTGGTCTTCCATCTGCTGACTCACTCCCCAAATGGCCACAATGGCTGGAGCTGAGCCCATCTGAAGCCAGGAGCCAGGAGCTTTTTCCAGGTCTCCCACATGAATGCAGGGGCCCAAGGACTTGGGCCCTCCTCCACTGCTTTCCCAATCACATTAGCAGGGAGCTAGATTGGAATTAGAACAGCCAGGCCTCAAACCCATGCCCATATGGGATGCTGGCACTGCAGGCTGGGGCTTTAACCTGCTGTGCCACAGCACTGGCCCCTTTGGTATCTTTTTAAAAAAGATTCATTTTTGGGGTTGGCACTGTGGAGTAGTAGGCTAAACCTCTATCTGCGGTGCTGACATCCCATATGGAAGCTGGTTTGTATCCTAGCAGCTCCTTTTCTGATCGAGCTCTCTGCTTATAGCCTGGGAAAGAAGCAGAGGATGGCCCAAGTGCTTGGGCCTCTGCACCCACGTGGGAGACCCAGAAGAAGCTCCTGGCTCCTGGCTTCATATTGGCTCAGCTTTGGCTGTTGCAGCCATCTAGGGAGTGAATCAGCAGATGGAAGACCTTTCTGTGTCTCTCCCTCTCTCTGTCTGCAGTTCTACCTCTCAAATAAATCAGGAAATCTTTAAAAAAAAATTTATTTGAAAGGCAAGTGAGAGAGGGCAGGAGATATTCCATCTGTTGGTTCATTTCCCAAATAGCTACAAAATTCAGGGGCTAGGCCAGGCTGAAGCCAGAAGTCAGGAACTCTATCTGGGCCTCCCATGTGGCTGGCAGAGGCCCAACGATTTGGGCCACACTCTGCTGCCTTCCCAGGTGCATTCATAGAAGTTGGATGGGACACAGAGCAACTGGGACTTGAACCAGTACTCTGATACAGGATGCTGACATTCTAAGCAGTGGCTTAACCCAGTACACCACAATGCCAGCCCCAGCACTGAAATATCAAGGAGCAAGGAATAAACAATCTATTTCCAACTGGTTCAGAAAAAAGAGACAACAAAGCCGGCGCCGTGGCTCAATAGGCTAATCCTCCACCTTGCGGCGCCGGCACACCGGGTTCTAGTCCCGGTCGGGGTGCCGGATTCTGTCCCGGTTGCCCCTCTTCCAGGCCAGCTCTCTGCTATGGCCAGGGAGTGCAGTGGAGGATGGCCCAGGTGCTTGGGCCCTGCACCCCATGGGAGACCAGGAAAAGCACCTGGATCCTGGCTCCTGCCATCAGATCAGCGCGGTGCGCCGGCTGCAGCGGCGGCCATTGGAGGGTGAACCAACGGCAAAGGAAGACCTTTCTCTCTCTGTCTCTCTCTCTCACTGTCACTCTGCTGTCAAAAGTCAATACCATATAAACTACACAGAAAGAAAAAAGTGCAGCTGTGCATGTGTGTGAGTGTGCATGCAGCAGGAGAAGGAAAGGAAGAGGAAGAATGATATATATATATTTTAAGTACAGAGCAGACCTGTGCTGGTATTTATTTTGTGACAAATGCTATTATACCATATAGCCCTAGCATCTGATCTGAGAACAGAGGAAGGAAATGATGCGAGCAGTAGGTTCTTTTTTTTTTTTTTTTTTGACAGGCAGAGT